GTAAAATTTTATATACAGGCTTTGATTAGGCTACTCCTTATGATTTACCTCTCATGAGATGTTTGAATGACCCTGGGGCAATTTATTTCTTCTCTCATTCATTCAACTAGTGCTTATTGAGTCTACTGTGTGTAAGGCAAGCTTAGTGTCAAAGTTTCTGTAATTTCTTTCAGAAGAGAAAGAACACATTTTTTCTTGCAACTGACACTATGTCTTCTCCAGATCTTCTCTGTGATTCCTTCCCTTGCTTGGAAAGATCTCTTTTCCAGAACAAGAACTGTTATTATTGCTCAGAGTTTATTGTTACCAGGAATGACCTGAGAGATAAACTGCCCTAGGTTAAGGGGCTTATTATTTTACAATAACAGTATACTTAAAATTTATTTTAGTTTTATTGAAGTCTTTAGTTTTTAAATCACATTCTTTTCTATATATACACCACCACTAAACTTACATCCACACCCATATTCACACCCCATCTCCACACAAATCTTCCCTTACAACAAAGAAAATTAGTTAAGGAAAAACAACTGAAACAGCAACTATGTCTGACAGTACATGCAACATCACTTGTCCATAGTCTACATCTCTATAACTAGGTGAAGTAGGGTAATACTTTTCCTTATCTCTTTTCTGAGTCCAAAGTCATTCATAATAACTAAACAGCAGAACAGTACATTTTACTTATTAATTAGTTTTTTTTATTTTTCAATTTTATTTATATATTTTGATTTTCAGAGTTTTCATACTTAAGGTTTTGATTTATTGATTTTCTAATTTTTTTTTCAGTTTCATGTCTCATTTGTTTGTATGTCCTTTCTCTCTTATGTTGATCAAAGTGTTTAGAGACATAAATTTCCTCCTAATGGTTTCTTTGGCTGCACTCCAAAAGTTTTGGCATAATGTCTCACTCTTGTGATGAAATCATCTATTGTTTCTATGTTCTCTGACCCACATATTCTTTATGATTATATTATTTAGACTCCATTTAAATTTGAAGGCTTTCTTCAGATGCCCTTTATTTTTTGTGCATTATTGCTTTGTAAGAATTTGATTAAAATTTCTATTTTTTCACATTTGCTTGTGAGATTTTCATACCCTAGCACAGGGTCCATTTTTGTAGAGGTATGATACACAGCTAATATATAAATATACTCCTTTCATATTCTATTTAATAATCTCCAGAGATCAATCATATCTAACTTTTCTAAAATTTATATTCCAATCTTTTGTTTATTTCGTATTTATCTTTTATGTTAGATTGGTCTAGGTCTGAAAGAGGTGTATTGAGATCCCCAATTATCATAGTTTTTTTGTCTCTCTTCTCTCTGTATTTCAATGCACATATATATATATATATATATATATATATATATATTACATATATATATATACATATGTACACATATATACACACATACACACATACACATACACATACACATACACATGCACATGCACATACAGGTGGTCCTAAAAGTCTTAGTGCAGTTTTAAGCTATCAAAGCTAATGGTTTTAAGGTATCAAAACTTCAAACTGCTCTAAGACTTTTGGTACTCGCTCTCTCTCTCTCTTTCTCTCTCTCTCTTTCTCTGTCTGTCTGTCTGACCATATAGATATATACACATTTATATTAATATAGACATTACTTTATTATTTATGATTCCTTTAAGAATAAACTAATTTCATTGTTTTAAATATATCAAGTTTTACTGTTGCTTTGAATGAGACCATAATTCTGATAACCACTCCCTTGCTATTTTGTATTTATCTGAGATATAATAAATTCAATTTCAACCCCTCATTTTAACTGTATAAATCTTTATGCTTCATGTGCATTTATTGTAAATTATATACTGCTGAATTCTGCATTCTAATTCATTTTGATACTGCCCTCTACTTTATGGGTGAATTCATACTATTTGCATGATTGTTAATTGTATTTTCCCTCCAAAATTTGCTCTTATAATTTTCCCTTATTGCCCCCCATCTCACTCTTAAAAAAAAAGTAATATTGAAAGAAAGAGAATATGATTAACATTACTAAACCATAATTAAAGTGGTCTAATCTGACTTCACTGTCCTCTTCACCTAACCCAGATCCTGATCACAGTTCTTACTTTTTATTTCTCATTCTTGTGACTATTGCCATGACAACTCTGACTCATCTCCTTTTAGATCTTTACAAGGTTGTTTATAGGAGAGCTGGAATCATCTAGATTCTTTCATATCAACATCTAAACTTAAAGAATACTTTTTAAATAGAAATTTTGAACATAAAGTTAAATCTAAATCACAATCAATTTCATTCCATTCTGCTTTATTACCAGTCATCTCGTAAAGCCCCTAGACAAGGAGCTGAAACCAATGTCCTTGGGCCCTACTTTGGCCTTGCTATTTTTTGAGACAGAACTAGCTGTAGCTATGATAATTATTATTTAAGAAAAGGTAATGGTATGGATCGAGAGCAAACAAGGGATCTTACTCATGCATCTTCTCTCTACTCCTATTGCTAATCATAGAGGAAGGACAACATGCATAGTCCAAAAAAAATAGAATAAATTGGATATCTTCTTTTTCTTGGAGCAATTAAAATTCAGTAGAGGTAGGTAATCATTAGGAAAATGTAAGTAGGACTTAAATCTATGTGAAGGGCATTAATACTATATCCCTCTAAGATAGAAACAAACAAAAACCTTCATCATTTGAGTAAGAAAGTCCTTGAACCCTCAGTAGAATGTAAGCTCTTTAAGGGCAGGGACTATTTGGTATTGCTTTTGTATCCCCAGTGCCTAGCAAAGAGTCTTATACATAATAGATGCTTGTTGAATTAAATTTAATTCAATATAATGTGTAAGGAAAAACTCTAAGTGGGCAATCAGAGAGGAAATAGAGTATAACTTCTGCAGAGTCCCCAAACTTGCAACATGTAACTATGGTTAATTCCAATTGAATGAATTAATCAAAATAGAAACTGTGATTAATCTGAATAAAGATATATTATTAATATGAATAAAGATATACTCTCCAAAATGTAATGCTGAATTGTGTGTTCCTCTGTACATGAATATAATACCGAAGACTCAGAAAAGAAAGTTCTCAGTGCCAAAGTCCTTGGCACCATCAGATGATTTAACATCAGAAACTGATATTACACTATTCGTGTAACTAACTAAAAAAGATGCATTACCACCTGCCTGGCCACACTTTAAGGACCACTTGGTCCTTCCATCTACCTTGCAGCTGAAAACTCCTTTATATGTTATCTTCCTCTATTAGAATTATATTGAGAATAGGAACCATCTTCTCTATTCTTATCTCCAGGACCTAGCACAGTACTCTGCAAATACTGAGCACTTAATAAATGTACTTTTTTCCCCCATTTCCCATTCATTTTATTCCATGCAGAAATTCCCCAAGAGTAGGAGGACACTCAAGTATTCAGTCTGTGATCTCATCATTTAAAGAATCCCCTCCAATTCTACAGATTGCCTGCACATCCTATTTGGATCTTGTTCATATCATTCCCAAAGTTTACCACTGAGGGTCGACTTCATATGCTAGAGGCTTTCTAGGATTTCTTGTGGCATTATGAAGGTAATCATGAAATACTCTGGCTGCCTGCTTGTCATCCCTTGCTCTTCCCTTCCTGACATACCATTCCTTGATATCTTTTATGCCTGTTCCTCTTCAGAGTTCCTTCTTCATCATTGATTGCCACCTGCTCAAACCCACCATGTGCTTCTCCAATGCCCTCTATGTAATATTCAGTTTTAATTCTTCAGAGACAATGGTGTTCCCCACCTCACTTTCACATAACAGCAACAGCAGTGAAATGCTAGTGTAATACAGGGGTGGCTCTACAAGATTCTAAGTAGCCATACCTACCAACTTTTCTCTCTACTCTCTTTGGGCTGGCTAGTTCACCCAACTTGTATTCATATTGGTGGCCAAACTGCCATCCATGACTCTCTCTATCAGGATATTAGGAATAATTATTATGTAGTTGATACAAGTCTATTACTCACAACTCTAGTTCCTGAGCCTTTGTCAATATGTCTCCCATTAGACAAATCTCATCCATAGGAGTTAGTAAAGAGAAATCCCCTTCTTCTCTGTTAAGCAGCAGAAATTGTTGTTCCTCCAATCAGCTACCAGCAACATTATTTTTCTTCCAATCAGCCCTTTCAGTCAATAGGGCTGTCCTTCCAATCAGCACAGATTTCCCCCTCCTTCTATCCTGCCCACAGATACAAAGCCTGTCTCATTCTAGACATCTCAGCATTGCCTTTTTCAGCCTTCATTTTGATTACTTTTCTATGAGCCACCCACTCTACTAGGCTCAAAATCCTTCAAAGTAGCAGAGAGAAGTCGAAGTACTGAGCTTTCCATTTATTCAGGCTCAGTTGGGCTTAGCTCTCCTCCACTCTGGTTCTTTCAAGCATCCTACTTGATGCAGTTTTTGCTTGGTTTTTGTCTTATTCCTCATCTTCTTTCTCTTTACTTATCTATTTATTCTTCTTCTGACTCGAAATGACCCACCTCTGTCTTAGAGTGAGAACTCCAAATTCACGTTTCTTTCAGATAAACTACAAATAGGCAATATACAATTGTCCCATGTTTACCAAAAGTCCTAATTATCAGTTTTCCAACTACCAACTTAAAATCCTCATAATTAATTATATGTTAGCTACTGAGAAATAAGATATTTCAGACATTTTTGCCTTCAGTAATATTTGTTATTTGAAGACAGCTTTTTTCCTCAGGTCTTCTCAAAACCATCTTGTTTCTAAATACTTTTCTCTAAGGGGCTACTATCTCAGAAATTCTATCAGAACTGGTTTCTTCCCATTTCTACAAATAACATTATCCAAATTCAAAAAGATTTCATTTGAAGCTTAGGTGTCAGTAAAAGAGATATGTGATTTCCCAAAAGCAAATGAACCCATTCCCCTTCACATTGTCAACTCTAAACCCAATTTATTGTCCATCTGTACAGTTTGTTCCAGAGAAGCATACTATTGGACAAGATATATAAGGCATCCAACCAAATTCATGTTGAAATCTGGGCAATAGATTGTCTTCAATCATTCAATCAATAAACATCTATTAAGCACCTACTATATAATCAGCACTGGTAAGTTATTTATCCTTTTGGTTTTTCCTGTGTTTTTAGATAGACCAAGGTTATTTTCATTATTATTGATCTTTTCCATAAAGATCTACAATGTCCTAGATCTTGACGCAATCAACACAATGTTATTATCAAACAGGAGAATCTGCAGGATGCATAGAACCATATAATCAGAGTTGGATACAGAGCCATGACTAGGATAGGGCAACCAGGACCTTGGCTAAGGGTACTAACACACAGAAGATGACCTTGTTTCCCATGCTATGTTTCCTTATCTGTACAGCCTACATCAAAGTTGGCCCCTTGCGTCTTCATCTCAAATAATCCTGCTACCTTGCTTAGCCCTGGGCTGCTAACCTTGAGGAACCCATTACTGAAGCAACCCTCTCTTAAGTCCCACTTTTCTCCATTGTCTTTTCTACACACTGTCACGTCTCCCAACTTTCTCCTCCCAGGATATTAGGGAAAGATGTGGACTGGGTTATATTGTCTGTGACTAGACTCCTTCTCTTCCCCCAAATGAATTTGTTCTAGGTTGCCAGAATTTCTACTAGATTAGAAAGGACCTCAAGAGTACAACCTTTACCCAAGATGTGGATCCCATCTATAATACACCTGATAAAGGGCTTTTCCCCCAATGTTGAAAATTCAATTCAAAATATTCGATACTTTACCCTGAGCCATCCATACTGTTACACTGTCATCACTGTTCCATATATAGGAAATGGCTGGTCAGAACTCAGACTGTCGCCCCTAACCAAGGTTGTCCTTTGCAAAGCAAAGTTAACTAGCTTATCAAAAGGATAGAACCTGTGATTTTGGCCCCATTGGCATTATGCCTTGATAATTTTTGTTATCCATATAGTGGGAACTATTTTCTACCCTCAATAAGGAATAAAATTAAAATCATCTGTCTCAAGTGTTTCATGAAGACTAAACTTGTCATTACTATGCTCTTTTACTTAGGACATAATGTCACAGCCCCTAAATTTCCCAAACTTTTGAAAATATTTTTAATATTTGGTATATAATCTGGCTTCTTTTTGTTTTGTGGCACCCGTACTTCCCATGCAGCATGAGGGTTTTAGAGTGAAACAATTTTGGGAGACTTCTGTCCTCTTCTCCTTGTGACAAATGAACTTGTAATGACATCAAGGAGGAGGCTTTTCTCTGCTCATCATTTGCCCTTCCAAATTCCTACATGCATTCAGAATAAAGGGAATCTGCAGAAATGTGGGATTTGGCTCACACACACCATACATGTTTCCTTTTAGGAATTTTAAGATGCACCGGGGTGCAACATGAAGCAAAATGTATATTTCAGATGTAGCATCTCATCTAAGTGGATGGCACACAGATTAGAGACAATAACAGAAGTGAAACATTAGGTGGGTGGACACACAGAGATGGGAAAAAATGAAGTGTTTAACTGATAGAGAGTGAGAGCTGTGATTCCACCCCTAAGGGATTGCTCATTACTTTTGACCCTGCATCTTCCTTGTTTTCTCAGGGTTTTTAGAGCCAGACCTCTGGTGAGTTGAGGCTGTCACTGATGGCTTAGTGAGAAACTGGACAAACATCCAAAAGGAAAAGAAATGAGACCACCCAACTCACTCACATTCATGGCTATAAAAGAAATTTTGTCTTTCACATGGGGAACAAATTATACTCATTCTTAAGAATATGCTTTTAACCAATTAAAACAACCACATGCTCCCATTAAATTAAAGTGTGCCATTGGATTGGGATGAATATACTCAGGGAATTACTAACTGGGAGTTTAGGGTTGGGGGTGGAAGGGAGCTGTAGCCTAAAGGCAGCTTAGCCCTATCACTAAAGTAACTTGGACTTGGTAAAAGTACCTTGAGATGAACTTAGGATCTACTGTAGTAATGGCTTTTGGTTCTATCAAATATTTTTAGATTGCCAGGATCTTATTACTATCATCATCATTGTTCTTGTTGTTGTTCAAAATAATAACGCACTATACTATAATTACCATTCCATTGAAAAAGATAGGAATCGGGGCAGCTAGGTGGCACAATGGATAGAGCACTGACCCTGAAGTCAGGAGGACCTAAGTTCAAATCTGGCCTCAGACCAAACACTTGACACTTACTAGCTGTGTGACCCTGGGCAAGTCACTTAACCTTAATTGCCTAAAAAGAAAAAAAAAAGAAAAAGATAAGAATGGGGGAATAATGGTAATGAGACAAATAACAACAACAACAATAACAATAGACTGGCTTTGGAGTTTGAGGTTCAAATTCTATTTGCATCACTTCCTATGTATTTGTGAGTAAGTCACTTAACTTCCCTGGTCCTCAGTCTCCTCATCTGTAAAACGAAGGGCTTGGACTCTAATGTCCCTGCCAGTTTTATATCTCCAGTCCTCTAATCCTATTGGTTTCTTGGAAAGTTGATGTCTGACAGATGATTTCTATTTTCATTCCAGCTGTGCAGGGGTTGCCGTGAAGTATTACAAGCAGCAAACCTTTTTGCCTTCTCCCAGTGCCAAGGAACACAGTATCCAAAAGACAATGACAACCGAGAGGCCTCGACCAGATTTTGCATTTTGCCTGAAAAGAACTAGGTCCTGAGATTTGAAGGTGTTTTTTTTTTCCCTTGTAATACTCTACCTCCCTCTGCTGTTATTACCGGGAATTTTTTATTTTATTTTATTTTTTTTCCAACAATGAGAAATCATGTATTAGCAGCATCAATTTCAATGCTCTCCCTGCTGGCAATCATGGGAGATACAGACAGCAAAACGGACAGTGCCTTCATGATGGACTCTGACCCTGGGCGCTGCATGAGGCATCATTATGTGGATTCTATCAGTCACCCTTTGTACAAATGCAGCTCAAAGGTAAGTGAGTCCCTGTGAAAATGCCTACACCTGGAGTTTTGTCACCAGGAACAGAAGGAAAAGAATCACGATGGGATTTTTTGTTTTGCTTTTCATTTTATCATATAGGGAATCACAATCTTTGAGTTTGGGTGCTAGGATACTAACTTCAGGAGAAAATTACCTTTTCAGTGTTATACATTCCTTGAGCAAGACAGGGTTATTGGTCATTCAGTGCTCTCAGCATGGTATCAGAGTGTTGGATTTGGAAGGAAAGGAGCTGGATTCAAATCTTGGCTCTGATACTGGTGCCTGTGTGACTTTGTGCTTGTCGCGTCATCTCTCTGGGCTTCAGTTTCCTCATCTGTAAAATGAACAGGCTGAACCATATGATCATTAAGGTCCCTTATGGCTCTAAGATCCTAAGAATTTCTAAGATCAGTGCATTGTCAGCACCTGGTTCTTATGGAAGCTATGTTGGTTACCCAGAGATTTTGTGAAGAATGTGTGTTTGTCTCGAGGTTGTGATTTTATAGGTAATGGATTCTTCTAAAGAAGAATCTTCTAAAACTTAAAAAAGGAAAATAGTATGTATTTCCATGTTCTTCTAGTAGATGATGACAGAATAAATAATAATGAAGAGGAAATAAAGAGAACAAATAATTAATAGAGGCAGATAGGTTTTTGTTATTCAGTTGTTTCAGACTATAACACCATTTAGTGTTTTCTTGGCAAAGATACTAGAGTAGTCTGCTATTTTCTTCTCTAGCTCGTGTTACAGATGAAGAAACTGAGGCAAACAAAGTGACTTGTCCAGGGCCACACAGCAAATAAGTATCTGAGGTCAGATTTGCATTCAGGAAGATGAGACTCTAGGCCCAGCACTCTATGCACTGCGCCACCTAGCAGCCCCCACTACAATCAGGAATCCACACTCAAACACTTACTAGCTTTGTGACCCTGGGCAAGTCACTTAACCTCTATCTGCCTTACTTTCCACATCTGTAAAATGGATATGATAACAGGAACTGGACTATAGTGAGTTTCAAGACCTGGGCTATAGTGAGGATCAAATGAGATAATATTTGTAAAGTGCTACTATTATTATTGTAATAGCATTGCACTCTAAAGTTTAAGCCCCTGGGCCTCTGAAGAATAACAACAAAATTGTGTCACTTCCTTACTGTGTGTCTATGGGTAAGTCACTTAATTTTTCTGGCCCTCAGTTTCCCTATCTGTAAAATGAAGGGGTTAGATGCTAACAACCCCTCAAGTTCTAAATCTATAGTCCTCTAATTCTCTTGGTTTCTTGGAAAGTTTATGTCTCATAGATGATTTATATTTTTATTCCAGCTGAAGGGTTACAAGAAGCAAACCCTTTCAGTGGTGTGGTCTGAATTGGTAGAGTCAACCCATCTAGATTTAGAATCAATGATTTTGAGTTACCATGTTAAGTCAGAGGTGTATAAGGCCAGCAAAACTCCCCAGTGAGGCCTGAACCAGCAGAAAATATAACCCAGAAATGGTTAACAAAATAGATAAAAATACAATACAACATAGATAATGTTAATTGGTGAGTTTTAAGTCAGTATGCAGCCAGCAGGAGTCCATTTCGGTTTTGAGTTTGACCTGGTTTAAGCAACTGATGCTTTTGGTATGTCATGGCAAAACGACAGATATTTTCAAAAAATTCATTATGTATTCCATTTATCATTTTTGCTGCTTCATCTATTCATTCATTCACTCAGTAGCCATTTATTAAGAGCTTACTATATGTAGTACTATACTAGGCACTGAGAACTGTTCTGGGCACTAAGAAGGCAACGTGTTGTAATGGAAAGCATATCATGTAGAACCCAGAGACCTCACTTCAAGTCTTAACTCTGACCATGACCATGAGTTCAACCTCAGCTCAGACTTAGTTTCTTAGGAGTAACAATACTTGCATTATTTACCTCATGGGCTGAGGCAGGGGAAGTGTTTTGTCACTTTAAACTTCTCTATTGATGTGACTATGGCTTATGTCATCTTCTTATAAAGGCTTAGTCTTGACTCAATCTCATGCAAAAGTTTGTAAGGGGGAGGCATTGGTCAAAGGGCCTTGACACCTGTCCAGGAGGGAGGAAAGGTGAGGAGGAAGAAGGCAGAGCAATTAAAATTTTGCTCTCAGAAATTGTGACTTTGGTTTCACTTGGGGGTCTCTGCAACTAAATTTACACAGCCTTACCTACATTTTTCCAATCACGGCTGACCTTGGAGATGGAAATATTTAGCCATAGTCAACCACATAAATATTCTCCAATAAAAATGGAAAATATTTTAGAAACTACCATTTTAATGGTAATATGTGTAGATGTGTAGATGATACCAATCATTAAAAGTAAAATCAAACTCTTAAGCATTCATATTTTTAATTGCTTATCACTTTTTCTCTGATTAGCACTTAAACTTTCCGAATGATTGTAGTCCAATAAGGTGATGTTTATTTTTATTTTTGGTGAGGCCAGATTCTGAGCTAAGTCACCTTGGCCATTATGTGATTGAGTTATGTGGCTGTGGGAAAGGATACACATTTTCCACTCTAAGAAAAGCTCTCTGACTTTTATTTGTATTTGAGAGACTCAAAAACAGTGCCTGGGGTAACAAAATTAAAATTTTGCGTGGCCACAATCCTTGTTAGGAAAATCTAACTAAGAGAAAATGACAATAAGACAGAAAGGCATTTTTACAACTGTAATGGTTCAAAAATGATTGGCCTGAGTATGTCACTGGAGTATTTTATTTGCTAGTTTTTCCCATCACCCTCACTGAAGCAGACAGCCAAACTATTTGAACTTTCTCCTTTGCCTAAATATTTTTGATAAGATCATTGAGGGCAGACTATGCTTTATTTATCTTTACAAATAGCAGGTGTCCAATAGATATTCAACAGGCACTGAATTACACGTGGGAAACTGTCTCCCATGAAGACCCCTAGATTTGAAACACTTAATGTGTCAGCATCCACCATAGCTAAAAATCCTCTACCAACATGTTTACTTCTAGCAGTCAACTATAGGACACATTTACTTCAGAACCAAATACATTTGTTCAAATAGTATAGCAAATAAAGTGATCATTTTAAAAATCTCTCCATGCATGTATGGGGTATACTCTCCCACAGGTAAAGGAAGATACATAAAGAGAACCCATATACATACGTGACCAAGGATGGCACACATGTAAAATGAATATGCCTGTGCATATATACACACATGCATATAACATACATGTATGTATACATTGCATATACATGTTTATTTCTATCTACCTGTATCTATCATATATATCTTTTTCTGTGTATCTGTGTGTCACTTTAAGCTTCTCTATTGATGTGATTATGGATTATGTCATCTTCTTACAAAGACTTAGCTTACTACACATCCTCCTTTACTCAATCTCAGGGAAAAGTTTGTAAGGTGGAAGGCCTTGGTCAAGAGGGCCTTAACACCTGGGAAGTTGTATATGCTGTACAGAAGGGAGGAAGGGTGAAGAGGAATAGATAGATAGATAGATAGATAGAAATATAGATGATAGATAGGTAGATAGATAGATATATAGATAGATAGAAATATAGATAGATAGATAGATAAAAATATAGATAGATAGATAGATAGATAGATAGATAGATAGATAGATAGACAGAAAAATAGAAAGATAGAAATATAGATGATAGATAGACAGATGGATAGAAAAATAAAAAGATAGAAATATAGATGATAGAAAGATAGACAGAAAAATAGAAAGATAGAAATATAGATGAAAGAAAGATAGACAGATATATAGATAGACAGACAGACAGGCAGATAGATAGATAGATTTATATTTATATTGATAGAGATGATAGATATAGACATAGGTAGGTAAATATAGATAAACACAAGTCTTGTGTAAAGGAATAAATGCCAGGAATCCATGTACCTAAAAGTCATGCATATAGGGGACATGGTGACCATGTCAGCTCATACCAAAAGTGTTTCAGGGATGTTGATGTCCGTCAGTGGTATCATCATGCTGCTCTCTGCTACTCCCATGAACTAAGCTGAGCAGACCGCTCTGTTCTAAGGATAGCATTCACATTCTTCTTTGGGCCTTTTTCACAATGTCTCTGGTGGGCACATCCACTGGTCCGTTGCTTGTTGGGCATCTCTTTGCCTTTGTCTTATGGGCTCTGGTCCCTCAGGACCATCTACTAGGTCCTTAGGTCCTCTTTACTACAGGACAGTGACTAGAAAGCCTCTCCCTAAGCAAATGCATACTAACACTTCCTTAGGCCACAGTGGAACACCTGGCTGAAGGCAATAGACAAAAGCCAGAGAGAGTATCCCAGGCAAAGATTAAGTCTGTTCTTTTGATTTTCTGTTTCTGGTCCTACTTCAAAGTCCATGGTTCCAGAAAACTGTCTTCGTAACATGAGAAATTTCTTATGACTACATTTAACCTCTTGTAGGAAACCTTTGCTCCTAAATTGCAGGTTGGGAATTCTAAAACATTTGTCTTTGTTGTCATTCGGTCTTTTCAATTGTGTCCAACTCTTTGTGACCCCATTTGGGGTTTTCTTGGCAGAGATACTGGAGTGGTTTGCCATTTCCTTCTCTAGTTCATTTTACAGATAAGGAACTGAGGCAAACAGAGTTAAGTGACTCACCCAGGGTCATGCTGCTAGTAAGTGTCTGAGGCCACATTTAAACTCAGGAAGACTCATCTTCCTGACTCCAGGCCCTGTACCCTTTCCACTGTGCCATCTAGCTGCCCTTCTAACATATAAACCAAAACAAATCAATCACAACCACAGGGGAGCTGAGTAGGAGCTAGGGCTATGATTCTCCCTAAATGGCATAAAAATAGAATTAAGCAAGAAAAAAAAAAGCTAAGCAAAAGTAAGGTCAATGACCCTCACTCCTGTTATCCACATCCTTCATTTCATTGGGTATATATGCCATCAACAAAATGCTTGATTCTGGGCTACATTCTCATCAGCA